CTATGGGTCGGAACCGACTCAACGGCACTTAACAACAACAACATGTAAGGCAAAACTTGCTTGCTGAAAATGGATTTGTGTTGCTAGCTCATTTATTGTGCATGTATTTAGAATTTGAAGTCCTGGTGTGGTGCTGTGGGTTAATGTACCAGACTGCAAAGCCATTTGAACTGCAAGGTTGGTGGTTCAAGCTCACCAGTTGCTCCTCGGAATTGACTTGTTGGCACTTAACAACAACATTTAGAATTTGGCTATCTTTTCATAAATGAAATCTGTCTGTAATGTGTGTGTGTGTTCTAACTCAGGTTAAACTACAAGACTGTGCTTTTCTCTTTTATTTTAAAGTACTGAATCTAGAAATGACACAGGAATTGTCCATCCCTTGAAAGTTTGAAAGAACACAAATATCCTGTATCCAGAAACCATTATAATGATATAAGGAAGGTGTTCTTTGAGAACTTAAAAACAATATGCTAAGGTTATTAGACCTTTAAGTTACTTATACTACCATGATTCATATTTTGACATATATTTTTTATCAAAAAATCATCAGTATTTTAAGTTGACTAGCATAAAATTGTATACCATGTTTTATTTTGCTAATGCCCCATTTTTAGTTCTAATTTTATTCATGTGGGCTTCTTTATCATTTTTACCAAAGGTTGACCTACTAAGTGGTGGTGGTGGTATGGTTAAGTACCGTGGAGTCTGTGCGACTCATAGAGACCCTGCATATGATTTCCGAGGCTGTAAATCTTTACAGGAATAGAAAGCCTCACCTTTCTCCCATGGAACCACTGGTAGTTTCGAACTGCTGACCTTGAGATTAGCAGCCCGTGTTCATAACCACTGCATTACTAGAACAATCTATTTGTCTTATCAAGGCTGCTGTTTTGCAGTTTTGTTTTATTTTGAATTCAGTAATTGTTTTCTTTATCATTCCCTTCCTCCTATTCTTGTGAGACTTTAAATTTTTTCCACTTTTTCTTTCTAAGATCCATTGGTCGACTGCTAATTCACAGCTTTATTCTATCTTGTTTACTAATGAATGCATTTGAGACTATGAGTTTGTCTGTGAGTATGACCTGTTTAATTCTGCAAATTTTACTGAAGAAGGAAATCAATATTTATTGGACATGTCTCTGTCAGCTGCTGATGCTGCCCTGAGTATTTCATATCCTTTCTCATTTGTAAAGTGGAAAGAATCATCCTGTTTTGCAGGGCTGTATAAAGAGCTCTGGTAACATAGTGGTTACAAGTTGGGCTGCCAACCTCCAGGTCAGCAGTTCGAAACTACCAGCGGCTCCACGGGAGAAAGAGGAGGTGTTCTGCTCCTGTAAAGATTTACAGCCTCGGAAACCCTGTGCAGGGTCACTATGATTTGGAGCCAACTCCACGGTACTTAATAACAACAACAACAACAGGGCTACCTGTGAGAGGAAATCAGTGAATAAAGTGTCTGGCCGTCACTGGGGTTTTCACAAATGTAGCACTGTTTTGATGGACTTCTCATTTGATTCCCCCATATGGTTCCCATCTTACACACGAGGAAACTGTAGTTCAGCTAAGTACAGGGAATTGCTTAGCTTCACCCATGGAGAAATGTCAGAGCAGAATTCCATACTAAGTCTGTTTGAACTGATGCTCCGGCAGGACTGTTGTTAAGTGCTATCGAGTCGGTACCGACTCATAGTGACCTTATGCACAGCAGAACGAAACACTGCCCAATCCTGGGCCAACCTCACTACTGTTGCCATGCTTGAGTCCATCAATGCTGCTACTTGTCCAATCCATCTCTCTGGGGGGTCTTCCTCTTTTTCTCTGACCCTCCACCTTACCACACAGGATATCCTTCTTCAGAGACTGGTTCTTCCTGACAATATGTCCGAAGTATGAGAGACGAAGTTTGGCCATCTTGGCCTCCAAGGAGCACTCTGTCTGCACTTCTTCCAACACAGATCTGTTGGTTCTTTTGGCAACCCATGGCACTTTCAGTATTGCCCTTCAACACCATAACTCAAAAATATCAATTCTTCTATGGTCTTCCTTATTCACTGTCCAGCTTTCACATGCATATGAGGTTATTGAAAATACCATGGCTTGGGTCAGGCGCACCTTAGTCCTCAAGCTGACATCTTTGCTCTTCAACACTTTAAAAAGGTCTTGTGCAGCAGATTTGCCTAATGCAATACGTCGTCTGATTTCTTGACTGTTGCTTCCATGAGTGTTGCTAGTTGATCCAAGAAGAATGAAGTCCTTGACAACTTCAATCTTTTCTCTGTTGATAAGAATGCTGTTTATGGGTCCAGTGGTGAGGATTTTTGTTTGCTTTATGTTGTGATGTAATCCATACTGAAGGCTGTGCTTTTTCATCTTCATCAGTAAATGTTTTAAGTCCTCTTCACTTTCAGCAAACAAGGTTGTATCACCTGCATATCACAGGTTGTTAATGAATCTTCCTCCAATCCTGATGCCACATTTTTTCTTCATATAACCCAGCAGACTAGAGGGTAATTAGTAGGATCAGAGCAAAGAGGACACTGGGAATTTGAGCCTAGTGGTATTTACTTCTGGATTAAAATACCCAATGGTCTCTACCCTCTTCTTTGATTACATTGAATGCAGGATCTTATGTTCCCTGTGCACTGAAAGCAGTCTCTCCTTTCAGACCTTTGGTTCCTTTTTCCCATGGAAATTCACTAGCAAATCCTTTTCTGTTGGTGGTAATTTAAAGTGTAATGACTAGGCACTTAGTAATAGCACCTGGAGACAAGGGGATTGGTATCTTCTAGAATCAGTCTGTGGGTTAGCAAGAGAAGGAGCAAAGATCTGAATAATGCTGCATCTTGTACCTGCATATCTCTAGAGTTGAATCTGGAGTATAGAATGCCCAAGCTGGTTCTGAAAGATAACATTACTCAAGGAAATGTGGTGTACTTTCTTAGGCGTATAAAAGTCTCCTGTAATAAAGGTATCCTGTAATAAAAGTATCCTCCTCTCTCTCTCTCTCTCTCTCTCTCACTCGCTCGCTCGCTCTTTTTTCTGTGTGTGTGGTGGGTGGGCCTGTTGGGACTGGGATGTTTATTTGATGTAAGGTCCCAGAGTCTTATTTATTTTAATCTCTTCATGCAGTTTGTTGTTGCTGCTGTTAAGTGCTGTCAAGTCAATTCTAACCCTGTATAGGGTTTCTGAGGAGCAGCTGGTGAGTTTGAACCGCTGACCACGTGATTCAAACTGACTTTGCAGTTCAGTGTATTAACCCACAGCTCCACATTATTGCCTCATTTATCAATTAACAATACACCCTGCCATCTCCTGATAGCAGTTGAATCAGAAGACTGATCCTAACTGAAGTGTTAGGCACCTATTTAAGAATTAATGTCTACCCCTCAAAAGACAAAGTGAAGGGTGTGTTGGGTTCTATGCTGGGACATTGAGAAATAAACATGATTTTCCTCCCTCTTTCCTAAGGAGATGGATTCATCAAGGGGTCCCCCTTTCTTTATCCTGGAAACTGCAAGCAGATTTGACATCCAACAAGGAAATGCAGGTAAGAATGTGAAATATCCCTTGCACTGGGGCTGGTCACCCCAAGTCACCTCACTGGATTGAGAGGACTGGAGGCGCCCACCCAGTTTCCCTGAGTTCTGCCCCACTTCTGAAGATACAAGGCTGGCCCCTCACAGCTGCTGTAAATGACTGATCACTCCCAGGCCTGCAGCCTGTAAGCCAATTTCTCATGCCCAGACTCCCGCCTACTCAGCAGTTGTTTGTTGTTACGTGCCATTGAGCTGGTTCCGACGCATAGCAACCCTATATAGGGTTTCCAAGGAGCAGTTGGTGAACTTAAACCAGTGACCTGTGGTTCAAGCCCACTTTGCAATGCAGCGAATTAACCCACAGCACCATGAGGAATTTTTGAAGAAAGGTAGACTGTAGCCACAGGGTGCAGTGTAACCTCTGAGTAAGGTAAAACACCAGTTGCTGGAAGATGGGAAGGAAAGGGAGGCGAGAACAAGAGGGGAGATTTTAAGGAACTTTTGCAGTGACTTTACATGTGCTATTTATTCCTTGAAACATCTCCATTTTGTTGTTGTTAGGTGTCATTGAGTCAATTTTGACTCATAAAGACCCAATGTGACAGAGTAGAACTACCCCTACAGGGTTTTCTTGGCAGTAATCTTTATGGAAGTTGTTTTACCAGGCTTTTTTCCTATGAAAGTGTTCAAACTGCCAACCTTCCGGTTTGGTTTGCAGCCAAGCACTTAATCCCTGTACCACCAGTGCTCTTTATCTCTATTTTATATATGCAGAAACTGAGGGCTCAAGAGGTAAAGCAGTTTACTCAATGTCAAATAATCAATAAGTGAGAATTGGGTTTGAAACCAGAGCTGTTTGACCATTATCAACCCCACCCCTTCCCAGAGCCAGCCAATGGAGCAAAGGAGTTGTTGAGGAGCTGGGAGATATGGACATGGAAAAAGGAGGACCTACCTTCATGGGAGGCCTCTGGTCACTGGAAAGAGAAATCCCTGAACTAAGGAAGCCCAGGAAAGGAAGGCCTGAAACCAGGGGGCATTACAGGGGCAGTGGACAGGGAGGTGGGAGACAAAGCAGAAGTAGATGATAACTCTTCTGAGAACAGACTCTATAGTTTCAAATGTCTTTACAGATTAAACTGTGCTTGCACTTTACCTGGTAGGCTCACTCTATCTTGGGGTCAAGTTAGCCTATGTGGTATGTTTTCAGTGCTGGGGAAAGCCTATTCCTACCAGTCAACAATTAATTATCTTCTTAAGGTTTCACCTAACTGGAGAAAGAACCTCTTTAAGGACACTTTTGTAGCTTCTGAACCAAGCACATAAAAAGTCATTCAATTAAGTCATTGTGCTGACAGAGAGAAGATTCAGAAAGGGGATGAGTATCTCACAAAAGGGACCTAGAGTGACACCCAGGGAGACACTAACAGGGCAAGATGACAGAACTTTTGTGGGGGCTGGCTAGAGCAGTCCTGGCATGGGGAAGGGCGCTTAGCGAATATCAGCAGAGAAAAACATCAGTTGGTTTTCTGTAACTCAAAAGGGCATCATTGCTATCAATGCCAGCAGCAAAATGACTTGTTGCTTTGGCTCTGGACAACTGAGAGTCAAAAGAAACATTGGCCTGCCAGTACCTCCAAAGCCATGTTGCTGCTTCCCACACCATCACCACCAACACCATTACCACCACCACTAGCATCACCACACCATCACCACAAAATCACCACCAACACCATCACCACTATCACTAACACCACCACCACCACCACCACCGTCATCACCACTAACAATATCCCCACCACCACTACTGTCTGCCCTTCATTAGTATGCTTGTAACTGGCCTTAGTGTATTCTTTCCTCAATTCTCTCTCGGAAGAAAAAATGCTTCTTAGTTAGAAGGAGGTATGTGAGCTCTGGGACAAAGTCCTGTGAATGCTTGTGGTGGGACTTGCAAGTGTGTCAGCTTCTCATGATTTATTCCCTCACAGGAGATTGCTGGGTTCTGGCAGCACTTGGCTCCTTGACGCAGAACCCAAAGTATCTGCACCAAATCCTGCCATGGGACCAAAGTTTCTCACAACAGTATGCGGGGATTTTCCATTTCCGGGTATGTGCATTGTTGGACTCTCCATATATTGGACTCTTCATAAATCCTAGGAAGGCAAGCGTGTGACATATTCATATGGGCTGGCTACTTCAGATGGAAAGGACACTCAGGTGTTGGCCATTCTGTCAACCTCCTGAAAGAATTTGAATGACCTTATCTGATAACACACAGGAAAGGTGATGGCTAAACTTTAATGTGAATAAAGAGAAATGACAGTAACAAAAAGACAAGGAAAAGAGTCATTCATCAGGAGTCCTGTAACCAGCACTGAGCATTTGTCTCTATGTCAATTCCTGGGCCGTATCATGTTATTTTGATGATAATGGTTTCATATTAGGTTTTGACATCTGGTAGGATTATTTTTTTCTCAAAAGATGTCTGGGTACTTATCAGACATTTATTCTTCCATGAGAACTCTAAAATCATTTTGCCTAATTAAAAAATAAAACCCAATGTGATGTGGAGTGAAACAGCATTAAATTTATATATTAATTTGGAAAAATAACAGTTTTATTATTCTAATTATTCCTTTTCAGAAACATAGTGTATCTTTCCATTAATTCTTAACTAGTTTTATGCCCTTCAATAAAATGTTACAGTTTTTCTTTATTGGTTCTGTACACTTCTAAGTAAATTTATTCTCAAATATTTTACCATTTTGTAGCTTACTGTGAATGAGATTTTTGCTCTCTCATTTCTAACTAGATCTTAGTGACACAGAAAAACTACTATTCATTATATATTAAACAGTAACTAGTCAACATACCAAATTATTTTATTAATTCTAATTTTTTTAGCAGAGCCTTTGGCTTTTTTCAGTTATCTAATAATACCTTTGTTGTTGTTAAGTGCTGTCGAGTCAGTTCCGACCCATAGCGACCCTGTACAGGGTTTCCGAGGTTGTAAATCTTTACGGGAGTAGAAAGCCTCATCTTTCTCCCGCGGAACAGCTGGTAGTTTTGAACTGCTGACCTTGCAGTCCGCAGCCCGATTCGTAACCACTACGCTTAAGTAAAGATAATTATGTCTCTTCTTAGTTATGGAATTTGTTTTGCCTTTTCACCTTGTTGCATTAGTTAGAACATCTCAGTTTTGAATAAGAATGTTGTTGTTATTGAGTGTTGTCCAGTCGATTCCGACCCATAGCGAACCTGTATAGGGTTTCCAAGGAGCAGCTGGTGAGTTTGAACCACTGACCTTGCAATTCAAATGGCTTTGCAGTCTGGCACAGTAACCCACAGTGCTGCACACCAGGACTCCTTGAATAAGAATAGTAAGAAGAAAATCCTACTTTTTCTTTGTTTTAGTAATGGAATTTCGTGGTATGCTGCTCTGTTTGTAAAACTGTTGTGTTCAATTTACTAAAAATTATGTTATAATTTTTTTCACCTACATCATTAGGTAAATAGATTTCTAGGTTTGCTATTTTTATATCCTATTTGATTTATGCAAGTGTTTACAAATGAACTGATTAAGCTTTGCATACTATTCTTTGGTTTGTAATCATTTGAATAATGCTCACTAATCATTGATGAGCTGTTCTTAAAAGTAACCCGTTGCCATGGAGCTGATTTCAACCCATGGCAACCCCACATGCGTTAGACTAGAACTGTGTTCCTACAGGGGTTCCAAGGGCTGAATTTTCTGGAAGTAGATTGCCAAGCTTTTCTTCCAAGGTGCCCCTGGGTGAACTCAAACTAATGTCTTTCCATTAGTACCTTAGCCTTTTACCCTACCCAAGCACTCCCTTAGAAATTTAGATAGTAATTAGTGAAATCATCTGGATCTTTTAAAAATGTGATTTATATAACTTTTCCTGTTTATTCAGCAGTTACTGATCTGCTTGGATTTCTTACCTCTTCAATTCATTCTTGAAATTTACATTTTATCAGAAAAATAAACTGTTTCTCTATATTTCTAAATTTATTACAAAAGTTTTTCTTATATTTTTTTTAGTTTTTAGTTAAGTGCCATCGAGTCGGTTCTGATTCCTAGTGACCCTGTATAGGGTTTCCGAAGAGCAGCTGGTGATCTTGAACCACCAACTTTGCAGTCCAGTGCATAAACCCACAGCGCCACTCCAGGACTCCTTTCTTAAATTGGTTGGTTGTGTGCCCTATAGTCGGTTCTGATTCCTAGCGACCCAGTATAGAGTTTCCGAGGCTGTAAATCTTTATGGGAGCAGAAAGCCCCATCTTTCTCCCGCGGAACCGCTCGTAGTTTCTAACTGCTGACCTTAAGGTTAGCAGCCTGACTTGTAACCACAACACTACCAGAAATCCTATCCCAAGTCGCTGTGAGTTGGAAATCCTATCCCAAGTCGCTGCGAGTCGGAACTGACTTCGTGACACTTAACAACAACAACAGGTGCTCTAGTTAGTGGTGTAACAGGATACACGTTAGGCTGCTAAACCTAAGGTCAACAATTTGCATCAACCAGCTGCTCCAAGGGAGACAGATCAGGCTTTTTGCTCCCGAAAAGATTTTTAAGGGAATCCTGGTGTAGCACTGTGGGATAAAACACTGGACTCCAAAGTTTGAATCATAAGATCAGCGGTTCAAGCTCACCAGCTGCTCCTCAGAAACTTTTTCTACAGGGTCATTATGGGTCGAAACTGACTCAGCAGCACTTAACAACAACAACAAAAATTGTGGTTCTAGAGAAGGGGTGGAGAATGTCTGACAAGCAGGCCATATGTTGTTGTTGTTAGTGCCCTGGAGTCAATTCTGACTCATAGGGTTTCGAGGAGCAGCTGGTGAGCTTGAACCTCAGACCTTGTGGTTCAAACAGCTTTGCAGTTTGGCGCGTTAACCCACAGCTCCACACCAGGACTCCAGCCATCACACTGTTGTTGTTGTTACGTACCATGGAGTCGGGTGAGTTAGTTGATGAATGTTTGACCAAGTATAGCAGCCAAATTTTTAATTTGATAATTTTGAATAGTTCGTGAATGGTGTTATAAATTTTTGGCAAAGAAAAAGCTCCCCAGCCCTGTTCTAGAGGATAAGCAATGGACTGGCAAACACAAAGTCGCTGGTTTCAGTCCACCAGCCACTCCGAGGGAAAACGATGAGAACTCCCGCAAAAACACGATTCAGGGTCACTGTGAGTCAGAAATGAATCTTTGGCACCACATGTATGGTTAAATCTACTTAATCTCTGACATGTTTTTTGGCTTTCATTTTTCTCTTAATCCAGTTTTCCAGGTGATCTATCTGTTGTATTGATTTTTAAAGGAATCAAATGTTGATTGTCATTATGATTTCCAATCATCTGAAGTTTTTTTCCTATCATTAAGTTTTATATTTATTAACTCCCTTCTAGTTTGTCTTAGTTAATTTTATTACTCTAAATTTGTTTTCTGGAGTCATGATAGGCACTGGATGGCAAACCTCAAAGTCTGCAGTTAAAACCCACCAGCTACTCCACAGAAACCCTGTACAGGATTGTTATGAGGTGGAGTTAACTTGACGGCATGTAACAACAGCAATTTTATTTTCTGAAATTGCACATACTCTTTTTAGTTATTTTTTAAATAACAGAAGCTTTTAAGACTACTTATTTCCCTCTGATATCTTATCTTGAAGGTTTAGATTTCCAATATTTTAATTACCTTCTAGATAATACAGTTTTTGTTTTGGTTTCTTCTTTGATATAAGAAAACAATAATTGTTGCCCTTGAATCAATTCCAACTCATAGCAACCACATGGGTTACAGACCAAAACTAAGCCCCAGAGGATTTTCTTGGCTGTTAATTTTGATGGAAGCAGATCACTAGTCCTTTCTTCCAAGGTGCCCCTGGGTGGGTTTGAACCATCAACTTTTTAGTTAGCCAAAAATTTGTACCTCAGGGGATTTTTCTTTGATAGAGGGGTTGTTTTTTAAAGTTTCTTTAATTTTAAGTGATTGAGTTTTTGTTTTTGTTTTTAAATGATTGAGTTTTGTTGTGGGTAATTTTTTGGTTGCTGGAATTTAGTTTTATTGAATTATGGTCAGAGAACATAATTTATAAAATTTCTTCTTTGAAAATTATTAAAGTTTTACTAATGGTTAAGTCCACACTAGCTTTTAGAAATATGTAAAGGATATCTGAGAAGATTTATTATCCAATGGTTCTGAGCTCTAAAGTTTGTTTACTTGCAGACTACATTCTTAAAAGCTTCTCTTGTGATACTTACAGACACAGAAAAATACTCTTACATCTTGGCTTATTATTTTTTTTTTTTTTTTGCTATTTGATTTGTCAAGTCTTAAATGAAGGCATTGGAAAGTTTTATACTTTCAGGAGTGTGGGCTTTACATTTTTCCTGCTAAGTTCATTTAGTACCCAAAGTTTTGCAATTGAGGAGAGGCAGGGCTTGATGGCAGCTAGGGTGGGTAGAGGTGGAATGAAGTTCGCTGTCAGCAAAAACCACCAGAATACCAGGCAAAGCAGATCCAGGAGCTCCAAAACTCGGAACCACAGAGATAGGAATATTTTGAAGGTTTGAAGGCTTATAGATTGAGAAACTTGAAGCTGAAGTAAAAAATCATGTACTTTTGAAACTGCCGGTCTGGGCTCAGAGGCCCAGAGCCAACATCTTGGGCGCGACCAAACAGCATGACCAAGCGGGGGAGCAGAAACACCATGGAAAAAATGCCGCAGGAACCTTGGAGCAAAGGTGGACAATACACTTTGTCAGTTTTGCTTTGTTATGATTTTTTGTTGTTGTTGTTGTAGTTGGTATCTGGTCACTGTTTGCCCACCTCCATTCTGGTAACTAGAGGGGGAGCCTGAGCAAGTGGACACCCCCCACCCTCACAACTGGTGGGTTCTTCTGCCACACATGCGCACAGATACTCAGCCTAAGAGCAGGCCCTGAAGTTTTTTGGCTAGTTTGTCTTTTGCTTTGTTTTGTTTTGTTTTTTTCTCTCTCCTTCCAGTGTCTAGTTAATAATGTAATGCAAGGAATACCAAGATTCAGTAGACAGCCAAGCATCTTAACATTATATCCCCCC